CTCGAAGCATATCAAAAACAACAACCATTTAAGAGCAACATTTCTATTAAGGAAAAGGAGGCAATAAAGAGCTTGGCTAACAATACCGACATTGTCATCAAGCAAGCAGACAAAGGAGGCGCCATTGTTCTTATGAATCGAGTTGACTATATTTCAGAGGCTTACAGACAGTTACGAAATGACACCTTCTACAGACGCTTGGAAATGGACCCCACTAACGATTTTAAATGTGTCATCAAAAAAGAATTAGAACAACTCGTGGCAGATAAAAAGTTAACAGTCAAGGACCTATCTTTCTTGCTCCCGCTAAGTCCTTCAGCAGGAAGGTTTTATCTACTACCCAAAATTCATAAGACAGGCAACCCCGGCAGACCAATAGTTTCGGCTATCGGTTCCGTAACTGAGAAGATTTCCAGTTTTGTTGACACCCTCATTAGCCATATTCCGCAAACTTACCCGTCCTACATCAAAGACTCAGGCCAATTCTTGAGCGACATTGCCGATTTAATTATTCCTGAAGGATCCCTCTTGGTTACTCTGGATGTTGTTCCCTATATACAAACATTCCACACAAGGACGGAATCGAAGCTGTTCGTCAGGAATACGAGCGTTCGGCCTCCGACCATTCTATAGATGGCGCAACATTAGCAACATTATTGAAATTAATTCTTCAATACAATAACTTTGAATTCAACGATGACCATTTCGTACAAGTGAACGGGACTTCCATGGGGACTAAAATTGGCCCCAATTACGCTAATATCTTCATGGGTGTGCTGGAGAAAGAATTCTTGAGTAGTCAAACATTAACGCCACTTTTTTATAAAAGGTACATTGACGACATCTTCCTGATTTGGGAACACGGGGAGCATGCATTACTTTCATTTATAACAGCGTTCAACAATGTTCACAGTTCCATATCATTCTCCCATTCATTCTCGGACAAGCGCGCAGATTTTCTTGACATTACTGTTTTTTTGCGGAACGGCAGACTAAGCACCACGCTTTTCAAGAAGCCCACAGACAGGCACCAATATCTTCATTTTCACAGTAGTCATTTAAAGCACTGGAAGACCAGCATTCCATACAGTCAGGCACTCCGTTTCAAACGCGTTTGTACACATGAGTCTGATTATCACCAGAACTGCACTTCCCTGAGGGAATCTTTAGTTAAACAGAATTATCCTGTCCGTCTCGTAGAAGACGCTTTCAAAAAGGCTGACCTCGTCGAACGCAAGACCTTATTAAAGGCACCGAAAAAGACTGCCACCTCACGCCTAACCAACCTGGTCCTCACTCATTCAGCTTCGGCTCCCAGAGTAAACTGTATTCTTCAAAAGCATCATAATATCCTCTTGCAAAGCCAACGTCTCCGAACAATCTTCCCGATTCCACCTAAAGTAATCTACAGACGCTCTAAAAATTTACACGACTTAGTCACATCCTCTAAAGTTACTAAACCGCAATATTCGGGTTGCCATCCATGCAATAAATCACGCTGCAAAATTTGTGCACATATGACAACATCACTTTCAGCTCAGAGTACCGCCTCCGGTTTCAGTCTTAAAATAAAGGGTAACTTTTGCTGTTACACATCGAACGTAATCTATCTTCTGGAGTGCTCTGTATGTGGTATGCAATACATTGGACAAACCGAGACCAGCTTTCGTCTACGTTTTAATAATCATAAAGCACACGCGATTTCCCTTCCTAACTTACCGTTATCGAAACACGTTGCGCTTCCAGGTCATTCCTTCAGCAAGATAAAAGCTACAATTCTAGAGTCAGGCTTTAGCTCCCATCGTGACAGAGAAGTCCGGGAATCATATCTCATCCACAAATTCAGTACCATTGCTTTCGGTCTCAACGAAAATCCCGGCACCTTAACGTTCTTGCGCCAGTAATATGTCATGCGCATTGATCACCTTTTATTATTATATCCTTGAAAATTGTCCGTAACAGTGTAGGTGCTGTTTTTCACGTGTTAATCTTCTGTTATCGGTGTTTTTTTCGTCACCACATGAGCTGTCAATTGCTGTTGAATCTTCTTGTTACGCGAGTATGTTACTGACGAACAGTATGTTGATACATTTTGAACGCATTTTTTCCACGTGTATTGATTGTACCTATCTACAATCCATGTGACCAACTGGCATATAAGTGGTTACCATTGCTGTGTTTTGTTTCATTCTGACGAAGGCCGGGCCCACGGTCGAAACGTCAAGTAAAAAATCTTTTCACTTGTGAGTCAAACTCCTTTTATTCTCCTATTATTCCCGGATCCGGCGACAAACGCTCCTCCAATATATATATATATATATATATATATTCAGGACATGACCGCGATGGTGAGTCAGCCGAGGTGGGGAGATGTGTCCATACAACAAAACGTACTCCGGTATGTTTAGAACAGGCTAACAGTAGGCGTTATGTGCAAACCCCTCGCTACTGATGTTTTCTTCTGAGCATATGGCACAATAACGAAGAAGTAAAGATGATGCGCATTTCACACAACGCATCAATACTGTATACATATGCCTTAGAGCGTATCTTGCAATGGGTATAAGGCCTTTTTTTTTTAGTACCTCTGCTGCATAAAAAGTATCTGTGAACTGATCTTGTCTTTCTTGTACGCTTCCATTTAAATCGAGTGTCTTGGACTAAGATTGCGTGCTATACATATAAAGCAAAGGCTCGCAGGCATAGAACAGGTCACAATGTCCCAATGTGCCGGTAAAGGAGCTTTGGCATTACTCCTAAAAAGCAGTTCAAGTTCTCTTCACTGCCTTGTTTATGTAGTTGCGCGCTTATCAAATATGAAGCAAGCAGCCCAGGAACGTGTTTATTAACATATGAATGTCTTCTGTGTAAGTATGCTTCTTTCAGAAATGAAATTCTCTTAAACATGCGGTGCAGTTCACAAGTTACCGTCTTGTAAATACTCTATTCTCTCTCTCTCTCTCTCTCTCTCTCTCTCTGTGTGGAGGGGGGGGGCACGGTTTGCTCATTTCCTCCCACGACCACAGCCGACCTCCTTTCAGATCACAACTGCTCACATTACACTGTTACAACGTAATAAGCAGTCAAATTTCATTTATGTTTCCCTCCTCTTATTCGCATATAATTTCTCAAATAAATTCTTGTAGCGGCCAACGTGTAACAAAAGTTACATACATTTTTTTTAGTTTTCACGTCATATTTTACTTTCCGCCCTGGACAAATTTTTCTTCTTGTTTCTTGATAATTGAAAGTCAAACAGCATCACGATGGTGTCTATTTAGTGACCCATTTTTCTCTGCTGCGGCTGGCGCATGCATCTGTCTCGGCTGCGGCCTGCAAGCTGTCGTTTTGTGCACGGAAATAGCTTCGTGCTTGCTGCGCTGCTGCGGCCTGTTATAGAGAGACACTCGTTTTCTCGCTGTCGCGAAATAATAAAAAATCTTCACAAGAACACAGAAAAAAGAATTACAAGAAACCGTGCAGTAAATGAGGTCACCGACACGACTAACGCTTGCGCATCCGGCGCGCAGTGTCTTGCTGCCTTGACAAGTAATTAACCCACTTTAAGCCGCCCACCTACGTCTCCCGGCTCAAGAAATGATCTCGTCATCTCGGCGAGCTCTGACTATACGCAACGAAGAGAGCGCCTCGCGTGCAGTTAACGTTTTGTGCCAGAGTGGTTGCTGGCTGAAGACGGAAAGCTGTCGCTAATCTATTGGTCTATTCGTGGTCTATTCACTGCTATCTGCCCCGCCGTGGTGGTCTAGTGGCTATCTTATGCTGCTAGACTGCTGACCCGCAGGTCGCGGGATTCAGTCCCGGCGCGGCGGCCCTCATTTTCGATGGAGGCGAAAATGCTCGAGGCACGTGTACTTAGATTTAGGTGCTCGCTTGTCAAAGAACCCAAATGTTTAAAATTTCGGGAGTCCTCCACTACGGCGCCTCTCGTAACCATGTCCTGGTTTTGTCACGCCTAAACCACAAGTATATTATAATTATTATTATTATTTTATTATTATTATTACTGAGCAGCTGGGATCATGGCGCCACCTGGTGGAGCAGACCTCAACCACGCGCTTATTTCAACGTTGCCTCAGAGATCCTTTTCGTCATTGCGATAAACCACAAACCTAACGCAAGGATTGATTGATATGTGGGGTTTAACGTCCCAAAACCACTATATGATTACGAGAGACGCCGTATATAGTGGAGGGCTCCGGAAATTTAGACCACCTGGGGTTCTTTAACGTGCACCCAATTCTGAGCACACGGGCCTACAACATTTCCGCCTCCATCGGAAATGCAGCCGCCGCAGCCGGGATTCGAACCCGCGACCTGCGGGTCAGCAGCCGAGTACCTTAGCCACTAGACCACCGCGGCGGGGCAACCTAACGCAAGGAATACGCCATGCCGAGAGCATAGACACCTATTGGTGTGTGTGCCACTACCTAACGCCTATATAATTCAAGTATTAGGGTCGCCTGTCATTGTTTTTTATGCAAATATACGCACACGACATGCGCGATAATGTGAAGTTTTTACTTAGCCCCGTCGCCATGATTTGCGTTATCGAAATTCGAATCTCGGATTCCGATAAGTTCGATTCGCGCCTTCAATCCCGTTGGAGCGATGTAAGAAACGATTATACGCCTGGCTGTGTATTAGTACGACGAACCCTTGTCTCGCTGCTTCGTGCCTCATATGTACGTATAGCCCATTTTGAGCACTTTCGTTACGTGACCGGAACCGACCGTCAATCCTCAAATCGAATGAAAATACACACGAACAGGTCCCCTAATGCGCCGGCTTTCACTTTAACGTTGCCTCTGCGATGACATTCTGGTCTCTATGCATGAAGCGCTTAAGTCAGGATGAATTTGCAAAATTATTCGTTAGTAAAGCCCCATTTAACATCGCAGCATATATAAAATCCCATCATTTTTTTTTTAACTTCGGTCCCTCTTATGTGAATCATAGCGAAGCACTGCACACATGCGTACCTGTTTCTTGTGGCCGCATACCCCACGTGAAACCGGCGTAATCCGTCCATCGTCGTGACAGGCCGGGCTTGGCGCACGATAGCCTTTTGTGGATAGTCCTGATGATCGCTCCGATTTCTCCATACACGGACTGGCTATTGGCCCAGGTATACAATGCCATTGAGTCTTCTACGCAGCAGACAAACACGTCTTTGTCATCACCTTGTCGCGCGTTCCGCTCATACGCACATATTCGGCATTTTCAGTCACGTGGCGCAATCGGCGTAGGTCGCGCTAAGTGTCCTTGCCTGTACTACGCATGCGTCGAACGTACGCAAACAACTCGCTTCTGCCACGCACAAATGCATGGTATTTCCCCGGCCTGGGAACTATAGTTGTAGTTCATACGTTTCTGCGTATGCGACACTCTCTCTCCCTTTTTTCCTTTCTCTTTACCTTGGTTACGGGGTCGTTTGCAGCACTCAATCCTCAGACGCGTTCGCTCGAGGCACGAAGCAGTTGCGGCGGCCGCCTTTCCATTCATCCAAATAAGGCTGTGGCTTCGTATGTCGTGAATCGCGGCGGGCGTGGGACGGGAGCCCACACCTCAGAAGCTGCGCGTAGCTAGAAGCTGTGGAGGTCTACGGGTGCGGAGGTGATACCCTGGGTCCCAAGGCTTTCTTTCGTTTCTGTCTTTTTGTTTTTTGCGCACCCTTGACGCGTTTGTTTTCTCTCTTCGCTGTTCTTTGCGCACGGCACACAGATTTTTGTGTTGGCGACTTTTGATTGCGGCGATCTCTCGCCTCCACCGTATACGAGCTCAGGTGCCGCCAGTCCCAAGCGTTCTCTTAGTGGTGGCCCCCTACTTTTTGCGGAGTTCGCTGTGTTTCTACTAGCAACTAGTGGATCGCGACATACCTGATTCGGCGAGTTGCAGTGTCCACGCGGAGTTTTGTAGTGGCTGTACGTGCTCGAGTGCTTCGAGGTTGGCGTTTCTTTTGACTTCGGGATCGACGGAGGACAAAGAGAGCTGTCCGCCATGACGATGGTAGCGCACATCACCTACACCCGAGAGGTGGAGGAGAAGGAAGAAGTGGAACGCATTGCACCACGCAGTGAGTTCGAACTCTTTCGACGTACAGTGTGTGGTGATCAGTTGATTCCTGCCGAGTGATTAAGCGAAGAACCGACTCATTTGCGGTGAGCCGTCTTGGCGTAAGTCGTGCTCATGCGCTGGAATCTCGGTCACCGTGGCGACAGGCATGCAGTTCACGAAGCGCGGGAAATCGTGCGAGCATCGCGATTGCCGCATGCAGTCTTGACGAGGGCAACCACTTCGCTCCTGACCATCTTCGCTTATGGTGCTATATACCGGTTTAAATATACACCGCTCGGTTATTTAGGTAGCAGCTCGGCAAGATGGAGGACGAGTATATAATATACACAATGACTGTGGCGTTCAAGTGTCGGACTCGATGTCGCGGGTTCGATTACATGTGCCGCCACTGCAGCCGAATTTCTGTGACGAGGAACGCGATAATACTCAAGTACTACGCTTTATAAGAGCATGGTACGGAACGCGACGTGGTCAAAAATCGTGCGGAGACTTCCGAATTTCTCATAACTCATGCCGGGGCTGTTTCCGCCTGGACGTCGTAGTGTGCACAGGCTACCTCTTAAAAAAAAGAAATTATACTGAGATATGCAGTGTATCGTCGCCATATACGTTGGAATCTTTTCGTAATGGTACGGAATCAGACCAGAGCTTACTACTAATGCAGTAGTGGTGACAAAGTCGGTGCTTAATGTAACAATCAGCGCACCCCGGCGGAGATCATGTATAGTATGCGCAGGTGTGTCAAAAAAATTATACTGAAGGATAGAAACTCTGTTTGTAACGAAATATTTTTGTGGTAGTATATGTAACAAGATCGGTACGTGTTGACAGTCTCTGAAGAGATGGTTCTGGCCCACCTTACGCGATTAAGTTATCATCCTGTGCCGTGGTGGTTAGCATGTAACGTCGCTTAGTACGAACGACTTATCATCACACACACAAATAAAAAATTTTTGTGTATAATATTTCACATCTTGGAAAACAAAAATGCTCGCTTTAAGCACCGTTCGCATTACAGTTTATAAACTCGAATTGATTTAGCTTGTTTTGGGTCGTACTCTTCCAGGTAATATTCCATGACGTCAGGTCATTGACGAACCGTGTTGTGTGTGTGTGTGTGTGTCTGTTCTCACTAACTGTTCATTTTCTTTTTTTTCCCCTTTTTATAGTACTTTCATATCTGTACTTTTTTTCTAATATTCTCCCTCACCCCTTGTCCACGTGTAGGGCAGCCAATCGAGCCTATAGCTTGGTTAAACTCTCTGCCTTCCTCCTCCGTTCAACTCTCTCTCTGCGCTTCGTGCCAGTTTACGAGCTATAGTGTCCGCTCATGATGCGCTTCGCCGATAACTTCGCATTGCTGAGTAACTCAGGGGAAGAATTGCAACTCATGATTACAGAGTTAGACAAGGAGAGCAGAAAAGTGAGTGTTAAAATTAGTCTGCAGGAAACGAAAGTAATCTACAACAACCTCGGAAGAGAGAAACGCTACGAGATAGGTAACAGTGCACTTTTTAAAAGACTATGTATGTCTACTTAGGGCAGGTAATAACCGCGGAGCCAAACCACGAGATTGAAGTAACTAGAAGAATAAGATCGGGGTGGAGCTCATTCGGCAAGCACTCTCAAATTATGACAGGTAGATTGCCACTATCCCTCAAGAGGAAGGTATACAACAGCTGTATGTTGCCGGTACTTAGCTACGGAGCAGAAACCTGGAGACTTACTAAGAGGATTCAGCTTAAATTAAGGACGTCGCAGCGACTAATGGAAAGAAAAATGGTAGGTGTAACCCTATAGAGACAAGAAGAGAGCAGAGTGGATTAGGGAACAAACAGGGGTTAAGGATATCATATGTTGAAATCAAGAAGAGGAAATGGACATGGGCCGGGCTTGTAGCGTGTAGACAGGATAACCGCTGGTCATTAAGGGTAACTAACTGGATTCCCAGAGAAGGCAAGCGGGTTAGGGGGAGACAGAAGGTTAGGCGGGCAGATGAGATTAATACGTTTGCGCGTATAAATTGGCAGCAGCAAGCACAGGACCGGGTTAACTGGCGGAATATGGGAGAGGCCTTTGTCCTGCAGTGGACGTAGTCAGGCTGATGATGATGATAATGATGATGATTATGATGATGTTGTGCCAGCTCAGAGTCGTGTAGGTCTTCGAGTGGTATCGTGCTTCGGAAACCAAAAAAAGCGCACCGTTCACGTGTTCGTGCCTTTCTCACTGTTGTACATCTCTATTTCGCGCAAGCACACACTCTCTCAAGCTATCACCGCCTGCTCCGTGTCCCGCGCTCGTGTAATGGATGGCTACCGGGCCTCATCATCCGGCGATCCGTTCGTGCCCGCTATATATACTTGACGAGTGTTGCTCGCTAATGAGAAGTGTCTCGCCCAGCTCAGCGGGGTATTCCGAGAAGAGACCACGGAAGTCACGAATGAAGACGCGTGTATACGTAGCCTGTGTACATATTATATGTGTACCACCTCGCGAACCATAGGGGGTGACCTCGTTTCGTGGTAGCGGGGGAGTTCCGTTCACGCTGGGCCGGCTGGGTGGGGAGTCTATCGGAGGCAGTGTCTTCCTGCGCCCCTGCCACCTACTCTCTGTAACGGGGCACGATGAATGTTCCTGACCGAATCACAATACCGTTTTCCCTCGCATACTACCAACAAGATCCACTGGTTCTCCTGTTTTGCAAAAGGTTGACGAATGATATTTCATGCAGCAGATGTACTGTGTTGGCTACATGTTTCCGAATGCCAGGCGTTTAGGGCCAGGGTTCGCTATATTATAGCATATGCTGGCTGTTTGCACTTTTAGCACCAACACTGCAATTCAATTTAATTTCTTTGATTCAATTGTTTTTCTTTCATTTTTTTTCAGATTGTGTTCTTTGCCATTCCCATCCGGCGCAGTAATTAGTTTAAAGGGTCGCCGAAACGGTTTTTTCACATTTCGTTTTTGATTAGATCAATACTGGAACAAATCATTGGCACTATAATTCAATCGAAACACCTCTTATTAACGGAGCTATGAGTAATGAATAGCTACCCTCCTCCTTCCTTCCTCTTTTCACCCTCAACTCTTCTTGCGGCGTTCGGGGCTAAGCTCCGCCTTCACGGGCCTGTGCTGCGTGTTTCGCAGCCAATCAGATGAGCGGCTGCGGTGACGTCAAGTGAGCAGAGCATGTCGCTTTGTGAATGGGCGATTGAAAAGTCGTTTTGCCGAGTCGCAGTGATCTGCAGCGATTCACAGCTTTAAAGCGTTGTAATTCAAGACACAGTTTGCCCAGAGAGCTCAAATTGATTTTTAAATGACCCTGGGACTTGTTCTACAGTTCCAATGTGTTTGTACAAAATTATCACAACCGTTTTAGGGTCCCTTTAACGCGATGTAGCACTTTTTACTTGCCCATTGTTTCGATCTTCGAAGTGTGGCAGCTTGGGCTAGTTGGTATGACATGACGATAGCTGTAGCACGAGAACAGAACGACGACAAAGAGACATCGAGTTCTTTGTGTCCTTCTTGTCTCTCTGTCGTCGTTCTGTTCTCGCGCTGTAACTTCGACATTCGGCCGCGTTTCTAATCGACTTGCACGAACACTCGCGCTTATATACACTCCTGGTGGTTCCATCATAGGCGTGATTGTGGGAGTATAGACCCGCAAGCTAATGTATCCAGAGTCCCCGAAACACGGGAAGTGACCGTGACACAAGGCTCATCAAGTGACTACAACGCACTCCTTCTATACTTCATCAGCCGAGTGTATAGGTATAGGACTTGCGAATGTCTTGTCAGGGCAAACGGAGGGGGTTCACTTGCCAGGGAAGCTTGCCTTCTGAAAGCATGGTTAACTCATAGACTGCTGTTTAAGAACTCCAGTGTGCAACCGAATTTCGTAATGCGGGCAAGTGTAGTTGTAGGGGCTAGTTCGTATTCTATTTCGTATAGTAATTACAGACGAGACGAACGAAAACTATAGTGCTCGTCTTCATTCGTTTCGTTGTCCCGTGTCTTTCCTGGCGCTGTAATTACTCTACGAAATTCGTAATGGGGCCTGGTGATGGGGCCCTCTAAGTGCGTTTGCGTTGAAAGTATTCGTAAGATTACCCACAAGGCAGAGAAAGGCAACGTCTTG